CGAAAACTATCTGTACCATCAGAGGCTAGGGTTCTTGCCCTCGAACAAGAATAATGCAAACAAGTTCAAACGATCATCTACCACATAATAGCTTAACAAACATTGAGATGATTGCATCGAAACCATTCCATACCAAAGTAAATATTCAACACAAGCAAATTGAAAAATTCACTTTATTAATCTTTTTTCCAAAATTCGTAACCGAGCATCTAATGCGAACCAAGTAACGACTGATTTAGTGAAAACCACATCAAAACTGGTCACAGGAAGAAGCTTACACACAGCCTTTTACACATTACCACATAGAAGCAAAATTAGATACAAGTTTGGTCATTTGAGGGACAATAAAGAAAGCTGCTCCTCAACCGAACAATCCACATGGCAAGAAGTTCGGCAAGAAAACGGGATAAGGATAAGGCCCACGACCCTATGATCCATAGGTGATGGAGAAGTTCGTCTGGTGCTTCGGTACTCAACGGCATCTTGGAGAATGATATTTCCCTGTTTGTCCATACAGTAAAACGAGCCCACGAAAAATCGTCCGTCTTTAATTCCCACTAACATTTTGTGGTATATCAGCTTCTTTGCCTGGGCCACGGATTTTGAGGAGGATGATGATTCTTGATCTGAACTTTCCATTTAACTTCCCTAGTTTTGAACCTAATGAGTAAGGACATGGAGAAAAAACATAGATAAAATAGAAGTTCAATTCAAGAAAAGACACATTTACATTTATAAATTATAAAACGTACCACCACAAAGTTGGTGGGATTACAGAAAAAATACTCAGTTGAGGTTGAAGATATGCTAGTTCATAAATTCAGAGCACAAAAGATATCAAACTTCAGAGCACAATAAATTCAGTTACAAAGCAAAATATCAAACTTTCTTTTTTCGGGTCTGAAAGTGTACACACTGCTGTAAGAGTGACTGGTGACTAGCTTGAGTATCAAGAGTAGCTCCATAAAGATTCATTGAGATCTCTGAAAATAACTACTAATTATGTACCTTTTTTTTGCTCATCAAGAGTTCAATCAGCTAAAGAGAAAAGGGCAAGTTCGATCCTACTGCCCTTAGAGCAACTCCAACCGTACCTCAAACCCAAACGCATCACCAAAAAATCCTCCAACCGGTACCGAAACGCAAACCCAAAATGAGTTTTGATCCGTTTCTCTCTCCTCCAAACTGCATATTTGCGTTTGTACTGTTCACATACGCAAATCTTTTTTTATTAGTGTTTTGGCCCTTCTATTTTCAAAAATGAAGTTTTAGTTTATTTATCAAAATTTATGGTTTGTCTATAAGTTGTTATTTTTCTATATAAAATTATAATATAAGTATGTAAAAATTCATTAATGAAATTTTTTATATAAAATTTTAATATAAATGTATAAAAAATAATGAACAAAATATATATATTTATATATATATATATATAAATATTTTGTGTAGGCATAAAGTTGATATTTTTTTAAAAATACTGAAAAATTATTTATGATAGAGCAAAATGTGTAATATATTAATATGTGATAAATAGTTTGACAAATAATATGACTATAAATAATTTTTTGTTTTTTTATGCTCTAAACCATATATGGTCTAGTGTGTAAATTTGCACTAATTCATATATGGTCTAAACCATATATGGTCTAGTGTGTAAATTTGCACTAATTCATATATTTTCAAAAGTAACAGTTTTGAATCGGTACATAGATGTATATGTATCTTCTTTAAGAAATTCAATTTATTATAATTCATTTTTAAAATAAATAAAAAAATAATATATTTAATGTAGAGTAAAATATAGAGATAAGGGCTGGAGATGAATGTTCAACTCTACTCTAGAGTAGAGTAAAGTCCGCGCTAGAGTAGAGATAAGAGCTGGAGATGGCCTTAGTTTATTACATAAAGTCCAAATTGATTTGAAAATAATAGTGTGGTTTAATTTGTAAAATTGTAAAATACGTGGGTAGTATTTAAAAGTTGTAAAAGTTGATGTAAAAGAGAATATTTCGAGAATATTCTTTTGGGTCGAAGAATGAGTTTTTCGGTTGGAGATGAATTACTGCAAAATGAGATAGTTACTGAAAAATGAATTTGAGTATGGAGTATTCGGTTGGAGATGGTCTTATGGATTTATAACCGTTGGATCAAACAAACTCATAAACACACACACACACATACTCACATGGGTGTGTGTTGATCCAACGCCGTGCAGGTAGTTTACCAGAAATGGCGAACCCAAGAAAACAAAAAATCCTACTCTACCTCAATTTCAACATATCTACCAAAATACTGAGAGGATAAAAGAACACTACTAGTTTAATTGCCCAATTAAACAAACTGGTATGATCCAAAATGTGAACTAAACAAAGGGATCTCCCCACAAAAATTCCATTGCCAAGATAATTAAACTTTCTCTAACAGAGCCTTTGGAGATGAAGCAATAAAAACTCCAGCTTTGAACAATCAGAGCATGTTTTAGCTATGTTCATGTATAAATCCCTCCAAAAAAATATCATACGATGGAGCGAAAAGCTTGATAAACTCGACTAGTTGGTAACAGAAAAATCGGCAATGGAAATTCAACAACAAATATGTGTTGAGACAATCTTGCATTGCATTCATCTAATCTATCTAAAGGATATAAGAAATTTCAGTCTTTGAGTAAAAGTAAAGATCAAACAGACTCAGCCATTGAATGCGGATATGAAAAACTCACCGGGTTAAAATTCAAGGATCGGTGGAAAATCGTTCCAAGCTGCTCAACACGACGGAAATAATAGGGATTCTTTTCATCAAATTCCCAAATCCCAAATATGTCCATGTAATTGGGCTTCCTGAGCTAAATCATGATAAGTGGCCTATATTTGGGCCATAAAATAGCCCAAGCCTTGAACTAGCCCATAACATAAAGAGCCCAAATCCGTCCAAGCCCAGATAATAATGATATGACGGACATGGCCTAGGATAGGAACAAACATCTAACGTAGCTGCCGTCGTCCCGACATTAAATATTCGCTTAATCCATCCACCTGAATCGAATTGGCATTCTATAGCAGCTCGTGTAATTCAACAGGGAATCATTTCACTCATCAGGTATGATTTTTTCGTATTAGGGTTCTGCTTTTTGCTGAAAAGTCCTGTTCTTTAGTGTTTTCGGCGCTGGGCCCTTCTTCTTCCCTCAGATTTAGAAGTAAAGAGGCTCGTTTTTTCCCCTTTTCTTGTTATATTTCAATTGTTAATTTACATAATTGTATTCGTGAATTATGAGCTGTTGATTACTCACAGGTTTTCCCTTGTTCTTTCTCAATTTATACGGTTTTTTTTTGGTCTGTTNTGAAGAATGAGTGTTCTCGAAGTGTTTTATGCATATAAACAAGCTAAAGTTCTCCTTTTGATATAAGGGATTCTAGTGTCATAACATGTGAACATCTGTCGATGTATATATTTCCTGTGGTTCTATTATAGCTGTTTATTGGTGCTTGATTTTGAATGCAATCAGTTTTTCACGGTTGTTTCTAGGGAAAACGCTCGTTAGTGTACAAATGGGGGAAAAGGGAAAACGCTCACACTCATACAGAGATGATGACCGGAAGAATCAGAAGAGAAGAACTGATCACAGGGAAAGAGAAAGGGACCGAGATGAAAAGGGCAATGACGAGCTAATTGTATACAGAATCCTTTGTCCCGATACAGTTATCGGCAGCGTAATTGGTAAAAACGGGAAAGTAATTAATACAATTCGGCAAGATTCGAGGGCAAAGGTCAAAGTGGTGGACCCCTTTCCAGGTGCTAAAGATCGAGTAATCATAATTTATTGCTACGTGAAGGAGAAGCTGGATTTGGAGGTAGACGATGAATTCAATGATAGCAAGCCTCTTTGTCCGGCACAAGATGCACTGCTCAAGGTACAAGCGGCGATTGTGAATGCTGTTTCTGTGCCTGGAGATTCTGACAGGAGGAGGAGAGAGAATGATAGAGAGAGAGAGGAATGCCAGCTTCTTGTTCCGTCTAGCCAGTCGGCTAATCTTATCGGTAAATCTGGTGTGACCATTAAGAAGCTGAGGAACAAGACTCGGGCAAATATCAAAGTTACTCCTAAGGATGCTGGTGATCCGGCTCATTCGTGTGCCTTGGAGTTTGACAATTTTCTTTTGGTTTGTTCTCTCTCTCTCTCTCTCTCTCTCGCTTTAATTGTAGGTTTTGTTTGAATTTGAATAGTAGGTACTGACGCCAAAGATTTTCTTTTGATATTAAGGGCGTGTTTGTTTACAAATAAATCCCCTTGAAATGAGTTTTTTTTCGGCTAACAATGGTTAATTTTGAAAAAGTTTATGGAATAGTAATTTTTACTGAAATTTTAAATTGACGATATCCCAGCACGAGTACTTTGATTTTGCAATCTAAAGTTTAAATTTTGATATTATATGTGAACTTTTCAAGAAATCTTAGCTTTACAACCTAATGTTTAAAATTGGATAAAATGCAGTTTGAGCTTTTCAAGAACTTTGTGTTTGCAATCTAAATTTAAATTTTGATAAAATGCGAACTCTCCAAAATATTTTAGTTGTTAGCGTCATTTCGATTTTATATCAAAATAATATTTAAAATAAAATAATTGAAGTTGATTTGATGTGAAAGTAGTAAAGAAATGAAGTGAAGTGATAGTTAGTTAAAATTATGTGAGTGGACGAATAGTGAATTAAAATTGATTTGTTGTGTAAGAATGATTTGGTTTGTATTATTTAATTATATCGACAATATTGAGGATAATGGGGTTTGGGTTAAGGTTGAGTTAGATTTTGAGTATGAATTGAATTATTTTGTGAACAAACTTGCTGTAAAGCACTCTCATTTGATGTGTTATCTATACAATTACTTAAGGTGATCATCAGTACAAAAAAAAAATGTAGCCTTTTTTTTGGCCATTTTATTTTGATAATATTCGTCTAAAATCCTTGATAGATATCTGGTGAGTCCGAATCAGTGAGGAAAGCACTTTTCGCCGTTTCCGCAATAATGTACAAGTTCACACCCAAGGAAAAAATTCCTCTCGAGACTTCGATTCCTGAGGTGGCGCCACCTGGCATCATTATCCCGTCAGATGTTCCTTTATATCCCGGTGCTGGATTCTACCCGAGTGTAGATCCTATCAACAGTTCTAGATCATTGTCTTCCATTTTAGGCCATTCACTTGCACCAGAGATTCCTGGATATGCTGATCCTGGGAGCACATGGCCACAAGTGTATTCATCTGCTCTTCCGGTGGTGTCTAATTATGGTGGTGGGTCTCAATCGGAAGAGTTGACTGTGAAAGTGTTGTGCCCGTCTAATAAGATTGGCCGTGTTATTGGCAAAGGAGGGGCTTCGATTAAAAATATAAGGCAAGAAAGTGGTGCTAGAGTTGAGGTGGATGATCCTAAGTCCAATCAGAAGGAGTGTTTGGTAAATGTGATATCCATGGAGGTGAGTCTCACATTTCTTCTATATATATGTGTGCGTGTGTGGCAAATAAATTCTTTCTTGGTTGAAGTTTGTCAAGTCATTCGTGTTAATATTATCATCCGATACCATTTTTAGGGTGTGTTTGTATGTAGATTAACTCAATCCATACTTAGAATCTAACTCAAGTTTAATTCAACCCCACTATTTTCAATATTATCAATATAATTAAATAATATCAATCAATTAATCATTCTTACACATCACATCAACTTTAATTCACTATTCATCCACTCCCGTATTTTTTAACTAACCATCACTTCACATAATCTCTCCTACTTTTACATCAAATCAACTTTAATCCCACTAACAACTAACCATATTACTTTTTCTCAAAATTAACCATGGTTGACAAAAAAAAAAACCGATCTATTTGTATCCAAGCACACCCTTAGTTTGTTTGTGTGTGTGTGTGCGCATGTTATGACTGGAAACCCGTGATTGATACTTTACTGCCGTCACTTTTCTTTTCTTATTCAAGTGCACATTGGAATGCATTCTTCTCCATCGCATGTTATGGATTAACTGCTCTCACATTTTTTTTGCCATCTTCATATTAACTGCTCTGACACTTTTTTTCCCCCTTTCCGGGACTAGTCTTTGGATGATTTAAAATCCATGGCAGTTGAAGCTGTCCTGTTATTGCAAGAAAAGATAAACGATGAAGATGATGATACTGTGACAATGCGGCTCCTTGTTCCATCTAAAGTCATCGGTTGCATCATCGGTAAAAGTGGGTCTATAATCAATGAAATCCGGAAAAGAACTAAAGCCGACATACGAATTTCCAAAGGCGAGAGGCCTAGGTGTGCCGATGAAGATGACGAACTTGTCGAGGTGGTGCTCACACCTTTTCTTTTCTTTTTTCTTTTTTTTTTTTTTAATTTCTTTGTCTTTGTTTGTAAAAACCTTAATTCGTACAAAAACTGAGATTGTTCGTGTTTTAGGTTGTTGGACTTGTTGGCAGTGTAAGGGATGCACTTATCCAAATTGTCTTGAGGCTTCGAGATGATGTCTTGAAGGACAAGGAGGATTTTCGTGACCATAATTCATCTGCTGGTGTTGAGACTTTATATCCGGGTGGCCCTTCTCTTCCTGTTTCTTCAGTTATTCGTGGGTTTTCTTCGAGTGCTGCTGCATTAGGATACGAACCGAGGGCTGATACTCGGAGTAGTTTGGAATTGCTTCCCTCGAGTGGATATGGATATGGATCCTTATCAGTAAGCTTCTAATTTATTTATATTAAATTAAATATCTCGACTTCTTTATCGTTCATAGATGCATTTTTGACTAACAATAGAAAGATAAAAAAAATGAATATAGAATTGGGAATCTCTTGTTTGATCCCCCTTTTCCTTCAAGACCCCTGAGGTAATTCTGTAAGATCCAATGCCTTGTACAACTACTGAAAATACTAAATGAAGCGATGTTTTGCATTCAACACCATGCATCTTAATTTTGAAATGGTTCTAGTGGTTTTCAAATCATGTAATTGCTTATAGTTGATAGTTGATAAGATGGACAGCTAGTTGGAATCAACTAGAACATGCTCTCTAAGGAGGCCAAATCATTGTGATTGATTAGAGTGATTTACCTTCTCTATTTAATTTTACCCTGCAATGTATTTGTCTTCAGCCCACTTTACTTTTTCTCTGATCTTTTTTATTTTTTTGTTTCCTGTCTTTGAAGGTGGGAGACAGAGGTTATGGACCAGTGTCTTCACATTCCTCATCACTGTATACTGGGTTAGTCTCTGATGTGCTGGATTTTTAGGACTTGTTTGGAGAACACTTATTGAGAAGAAGTCCATTTAAAGATGGAGTTTTTGAAAAGTGACTTCTCTCAAGAAGTGTCCAATATAAACTTCTTTGAAATGGACTTTTTGTGGGCGTTAGTTTTATTAAAAGTTCATTTTGTTATTTACACCAAACATCTTTTTATTTAGGAAGTGGACTTTTATAGTCAAAAGTCCATTTCAAAAGTGCTTCCAACACTAATTTTTCGGCTTTTCTCTTTGCAAGATTGCCTTCACTGTCTGCTCTTGAGATGCCTATCCCTGCACATGCTGTTGGCAAAGTCATGGGAAAAGGCGGCACAAACCTTGAGAATATCCGTAAGGTAAACTTAGTTTATCGTGTGAATGCTAGGAGGAAAAAAAAATATTTTTCACATGGCCCCATATTTGTTTGGACTAATTAATGAAATGACATTGATTTGGATCCTCGTAAAGGTTCCAGCTTTTGACCACAATGTCATCTCATACTAGTTTTTCATTTGTTCGTTTTGTTAAATCAACCTTTCTTGATAAATCCGTAAGGTAAATTTAGTTTATCTTGTGAATGCTAGGAGGAAAAAAGTTTTTCTTTTTCGTACGGCCCATATTTGTTTGGACTAATAAATGAAACGGCATTGATTTGGATCCTCGTAAAGGTTCCATCTTTTGACCAAAGTGTCAAGGTTGTTTGTTTTTTTTAGATCAACCTTTCTCTCACTTATTATAATCTGCTAGCACAATTCACATGATTCCGTTAGATTGCATCTCCGCTTTCCTTTTAAACTGAAAACTCGATGAACTTGCCACTTGAATCTGTCGTATATTTCCTTTTTTCTGTATTTTGGTCTTGAAAGAATTGCTAATCATTAGTATGCATACTTGATATTTTTTTTCTTTTTTCCTCTTATTTTCATGGCATGCTCGTAAATTCAGTACTTATAATTCCGCTCGAGTCACATTTTTGGATAATTTTCGTTCTCTTCCAGCTATCTGGAGCTGCTATCGAGATTTCAGATTCGAGGACCAACCGAGGTGAACGTGTGGCTTTTATATCTGGCACCTCTGACCAAAAACGTTCAGCCGAAAACTTGATCCAGGCATTCATTATGGCTACTTAAGTAACAATTGAAACCAAGTTCAATATTTTCGGAGGGTCCTTATCAGTTCTTGCATCTCTCTTGCTCCTTAGGTTTTCCTGTCTCGAACATTAAAATACTGCTCATCTGTGCACTCTCTCATCTCATCTGTAGGAACACACTCGTATGAAGATGCTTCCGGAAGTTTATTAGCTTGTTCTTGTTTTTTCAAGAGATATTTGATTCTGTTGCTGCATGATAAATGCTCTAAATTCATCTGCAGCATTCTGAATCGTTCTTCCCTGTCCTTTGTGTGATCGGATTAAATTCTCTTCTGCAAATCTTATGTCTGGTTTTGGTGTGCTCGTGATTTGATGATAAGTTGGTTTATTTTTCTGCTCCACTTAAGGTCTCTTCCTGATGTGCCTTTCCCAGAGTAATCATAATCTGCTTATCTCCAAATATAGCATTAATCAGCAATAATCACCTTCCTGATTGAATGCTTTTGCCTGATTAGTATCTGATTACGGATCTCAAATCATTAGAACTTCAATTCTGAAGGCTCTTTCATTGGATATAATGATTTTCCTTAGTTTTTGCAAATTAATCTGACATATTGCCTTCTCTTATTACTTAGTTTCTTTCCAATCTCCCAAATCTTTCTTGGAATTTTTCGACTGTATAAGATTGAAAGGCCTGTAGATTTTTATGGTCTTAATTATCGTTACCAGTTTCTTATAGTTTTCGTGTGTAGGTCTTATCACTATACTTAGAAGCGTGAATTCTAGTTTTTAGGTGGTCAACCGGCCTAAAACTCTTATATAACGCAACTTTAAAGTCTTTTACAGTATTCTTTCTTTTTCGTTTAAAGAAAGAACAATTTTATAGTCCTTGATTATGCTGTTGCTGTATTTTCGAACATAAGTATGATACAGATTAACTATTTTGTTCTATAATATTATTAGTTCGATGCATTCATATTTAATTTTTAATTTTCCTTATCTCATTCTTTCCAAATTTAAATCTGAATTTCACAGTTTCTCTGTTAAATTGTTATTGTTTACTTTTTGTGAATATTACTTTTTTAAGTTTTTTTATCATGTTAAATGCATGATACTGTTAACTTTTTTAATTGTTTTTTATCTTATACTACCTCTTTTTTTTTTAAATGTCATTTTGGTTTTATCAACAATTAACCAAATATTTGCAAAAAAAAGAAAAAAACAATTAACCAAATAAATGGCGTTTTGAATCTTTTGCACATATTTTTTCATTATTACCCTCATCTAGTTAATAAATACACTACATCTTTTCATATTCACTCTTCATTTTTTCTCAAAACATCCATCTTTATCCTCATTAATGAGGTTATTATTGGCAAAAAAAAGATTCTTAATTACTGTGCAACTTCTCAAAACGACACTTATTAAAAAAAAGGAGGGAGTACTTGTTATTAATTACTATGTATTTTTATTATCTTATGAATCATATCTTACTAGTGAAAGTAGTGTAATTTTTTGAAGGACTAATTAGGAATATTATCTTTTGTGGGTTATATTTGAAGTATATAAGTGGGAGATAAGTTCTTTAAGTCGTACGAAAATTGCCCTAAATTAGGCTTTTGTGTTATAGATAATAACTCTAATTCCTAGACAAGGGGATTACATGTATTTTTGGTCACTAGAGTGCTTAATGTATGACCCCTACGCATATTGATATAATAGGATGAACTTATTTCATGATTTTTTTTTCCTTATATTTTATAAGCATGGATCCGACTTATGCATTGAATAAAGATTTCGAGTCTTGTAACACTAGACTTCCAAGATTTGTATCCTTACTGCTATTCTTCTTCATTTTTCATCAAATATCGTTATTATCCAACCGGCAATACTCAAATTTGAGCCGAAACTTCTTTCTGTTACTTTCCGTTATATAGAAGCTGATGATAAATTTTTCTGCTGGTAATGGTATTATGTCATGTTCATCCAATATCATCACCATGTGATTCTTTTTTTTTCTTCCAAACTTGTTTTTAGTCCATTTTGTTGGTTGAGCTCCGCTTTGAATAAACAGAGAAACTTCTTCTTCTTCTTTTTTTTTTTTCCTTTAATCCGAATCGATCTTTGACTCATTGACTTGAACCACTTTTTATTGTCATCGATTCAGTTATTCATCCTTCTTCTTTTAAGGAATAATCTCAGGCACTAACCCTTCGAGGTTTTAAGTTAAACCTCTTGTGACTATTGGCTTGTTCTAACTCTCTGCTAATGTATCTTTTCATGCTCTCGGGCCTAGCTGTTTCGTATATGTTTATTTTTTTGTTCTTTTTTTTTTTCGATCCTT